ATAGCATAACGCACGAACATGAAAGCCAACCAGTGTGCGGAAAGCAAGCGGACAATTAAAGCCAATAAGAACGGAACAAATGTGGAACCAATCAAGTGCACACAAAGGATGTAAGGTGAGAGTGATAGCGTCAAAGTATGCCTGCGATCTGAAGGCAAAAACAACGACTACAAATAGCCAATACGGAGGACGAAATGATGTGTTAAAACAAACTTCGGTGAACCACCATGGTAGAAAGAAAGTCTGCAGTCATGAACGGCTACAGATGCATACCTGCATTTTACTTTCACCTCCAACACAGCCTACACACGATTTGATCAACAATAGATCTGAGGACAACAAGTTCACCATTGAATTAGAAGAAGCCATGACATTGCCATTCCTGGATGTTTCAGTTCACAGGAACACTGTCGGAACACTTCAAACTTGTGCATACCGGAACAAGACACATACGGATCAAATATTGTACAACCACAGTAACTAACTGAGGAGCCACAGAAAGAGCTGTATCCAGACTCTGTTCAGGAAAGCGGAAGCACACTGTAGCACAGTGGAATTGAGACAGAAGGAGAACCACCTACACCGCGAGTCACAAAACAACAAGTATCCACAAACCATTCTTAGAAGAACACTGAAGAGGCTAATTCCTCGGCTGCGACGAGAACTGGCAAATAAACAGTTAGTGTTTCCCCTACATCAAGTAATTTGCTGAACTAACAACACGACACAGCACGACACAGCATCGACACAGTCACCGTAACACACAGACCAATTGCTACATTGAGGGCTGCTTCAAGACCGAACGACAAATCAAACAAGGGAATCAAACCTATGTAATCTACAAGATAAGCTGCAGAGAATGTGATAAACACTACATCAGACAAAGGGGGAGAAAGCTTTCCACCCGGGTCGCAGAGCATAAGAACGCAATAAGAAGGCATGAATCTTATTCATTGGTTTCGATACACGAGAAAACAGCTAGTCATCATTTTGACCTGGAAAACTTAAACATTCTAACCCCGGGGTTCGAAGTCTGTTTTCTTCTTCATTTACTCTGCAATTAAAGCCTCCTTAGCTAGTTGTGCATATGTTTACCAGTTGTCATTATTGGTATTGATGTGGTGATAGAAACTCCGTGCATCTGCCAACGTCTCGAACCTAACATGCTAAAGTAAGCAAACAGCAATAAACACGATGTGGGGATAGTTACGTAGAGCGTATCAGACAGAGCCAGCCATGTTGACCGAAGAGGAGGCTTGACAGATGGTGTATTAAACTTGCAAACTAGCTCTCCTACAAACGATCATCAAGGACGACTTTTTACTGCGCAACTGGAGGCATGGCATTAGTGCATACCTAGGCACCGGATTAGGGTAGAGTTTAGTCAGTACGAATGTCAACATGACAAGCCCAAGATTATGTGACTAAACCGAATACCATCTGAGTGCTTATTCACTTAGACTCATGAGTAAGGGAACTTTGTTGCAAATCGTTAGTGGTTTCTTCGCGGGAGATACCGCACGCACGGAAAAACGCTAGACGTCCAGTTCGACCTGTTCGGCCTCGTCAGTCGTGTGCATCCATCGGATCCATCAAAATACTTACGCAAGAACACTAGCGGTTTGCACCACAAGCCAGCATGTTATGCCACGGAATCATGGGGGATAATCGCGGATAGTCAGGATTCACAGGCTAATTACGATATGGCACGTCTCATTCTCCGCTACCATGTAACTTGCGGAAGTTGCAGGGGGTAGGGTTGGTCCAGAGAGACACGATATCCACTAACAGTAGATATGTACGATATGGCATTTAGAATCTGTTAAGGCGGGTACAATTTGATGTAGGCACTAGTAGGGGCTATTTCACCTGAATAGTTGTGGGTTTCTTCACATGTCCAGAAAAGCACCTGCACTCGCTCAACGGCGGTATTGCACGACTCACAAGTGATCCACGCTTGTGGTTAACTCCGGGTGGATTCTCACATATACGCAGATAAGCGATCCCTTATACCGCTAATTATCTGGGCGATGAATAACAGCGGAGAAGGGGATAGAACTTCTAGTGGTCCATAGCAGCTAAATCAGAAGCTTTCCCATCGCTTTTAATGAGATCATCTAACCGGCTTTCATTTAGGCGGGCCAATCTCTGCAACGCCATTGTGTAGCAGTCAGGTCCGCATAGTCGCATTCTTGCCAGTGACAAACCATGAAAGCAGATATGCGAAAAACTTGAACCGCTAATCTCGGTATACTACTGAAGTCCAAGTGACTGTCAACAGCAAGCCATAGTTTTGGGAATGGCAAGGTAGCAAATATCGGGGTAAAGTTGTTAACATTACCTGATGGATATGAAGTCAGCTGGCTTTACTATGGTGATGGTAGGATGAGCCTTGCCTGTACTGTCTGCCTGGTAGCAATGAATTCAGTTGATATCAGTGCGTACTTCTACGAAAATTTCCATTTTTATTTACTGAGCGTCTTAGAATGCATCCAGCGGGCAGGTAGCGCTGATTTGTTATTCAGCGATAATGGAGTTCTTGGCAGTGAAGGGGAGGCGCGACATGCTGAATTCATTGGGCGATCCACATAGGCTGCAACCCGAGTCACACATGGTCCGGTAGCATCAAAATTTGATTGTAAAATGAATATGCTCACGTTTAAATCCTGAACGATTCACTGCGGAGTATGTGTTACTGACGAGTCCAATGAATTATATTTGTTCTGCTGAGGACGAAAGGTGAATGTCATTAGTTTTAAGAGATTCCAATAACCTAAATGTGGTGGTTCATTTTAGTGTTGTCTCCGACATATTAAAATATTAGGTTGGATATGGGCAAATAGTTAACTGTTATTTAGTTCGATTCCAAGCATTGCAACAATTCTGCAGTCAGATCTTCCACACCAGTCATTTCAGGTTTCATAAAGTCAGCTTTTGTGGGCAGAGAAACAGAGGATTATAAGCACCTCCGCAATTGGTTTTCCCTGTTCAACATCATGGACAAGCAACACTACTGGCAATTCGATGCAGCGATACATACCAAATTGTTCGGCCATGAGGGCCGACGACGATGCTTAAAGGGGCATTGAAGGTTGTAGTCTGGACAATGAGTTTTCCGGCAGGCAACACTCAAGTTGACACAATGCTTTGTTCTTCATACTCTGATCCTATTAATTGTTGACTGAGCCAGGACTGTTAGACGTTAGATATCTGTCGGGGTACGTTGGTCTGCAAATAGTAGAAACCAACATTGACGATACAGCTCAAGGCCAAATATTCGGCAGCTTCATAGGTGCGCTGCCGTCTACATGGGTACCCATCCTGTCTTACGCTTGGGGACAATGCGGGGCCGGTGACCGAATAAAAGATGAAATCTGTCTTGTTCCGTGTTCATTCTATGGTAACCCAACGATGCACTACTAACCGTTGCGCTACGCGCTACACGTCGTAGTCTGCCTTAATAAATAAGGAATGGGCGTCAACCACCGCGTGCGGAGGTCCGCCCTCAGCTCAGACTGTCTCCCACCTGACGAGTCTAACATAGGACGAAACCGGTCGTGGCGTGCAGTGCTAGCAGAAAGCAGCTTCGAAACTCTGCGTGTTCGACTTGTAATTTATGCGAGTGACTTCGCAGTATCTCCAGTCCGTGTGTGCAAGTGGTGCTGATCGAGTGGCAGCGAGGTGTCTGAATGGCATACCGGTACACTGCTGAGTTCTTCTTCTGGGCAAATGAAGTGGCTTACACATGATATAATCCTTACCTAATTGATACGGATCGACTCACACCCACATGAATTTATAACTTAATTGTACTGAAAGAAGAAGATCGGAGGAAGCAGTATGCTCGTTTTTTAATTGCTCAGATCACATGGTGAAGCGTGAATGTCTGAAATCAAGTTGTCATTAGAAATTTTGTCGAATTAGTTGTGAGATGAGTTTCAACTAATCCACACTAATGTAATCTCTCAGGTGGCAGTATTCCTTGATTTTCAAATGACCTAGTTGTTTAACTGTTACAGAAGTGATGTTTCTAACAGCACACAAAAGCTGATCCATGGCATTTAGCTTGGAGCTCGCAAGTGAATGCAAAGAAATGAGTGTCTGAAGCCTTACGGACCTACAGGCAGGCACACACGTATATGTCGGCATGTAGTAGACATGAGTTTCACTATCTAAGGAATCTCGTCCGTTGCCTAACGGAGAGTGCGAAGAGAATATGTAAAGATTTTAGAAGGTTTTGAAACATATTCCAAGATATTCAATATGTACAGATGATACGCTTTCGGGTGAGCTGAGCTTTATACGAAACGTACTCGAGCGTAATGTGTACCGTGAGAAATTCATCCAGAGGCACATGGAATCGCGAGTACAAATGTCCAAACCCGTTTCGCGGAGAAGTGGACGATATACTTATCGTTGCCATTTAAGGGTGACGCGATAGCGGAACGGACCACCCGAAGACCATAGCAAAAGAGAGAACCTACTTTGCTGCTAATCACCGCGTAAGCTTCAACTCAACACCGATTGTGCGCCAACAACTTAAAGACAGGATACCTCGGTCGCAGACCTCCTTCTGTGTATACAGTTTCTCTTGCTTGTGTCAAGCAAGGTATAGTGGGAAAACGACCAGGCGACTGTCCGTTAGGGCTCGAGAGCATTGCCCAGTTTGGCTCTACAGCGGCGCGAGGAAGAATGTAACGCGTGCAGTGTTAATGCACCTAGTTGACTCCGATCATTAAATCATTCGCGTGACGCATTCACACCGATCTACTGTGTCCTCGGACGTTACACACGGGCAGTCAGATGTCGCCTGCTGTCGACAGCAGAGGCGATCGCAATTTCGATCGATAACCCGAACCTATGTGCACAGAAAACTCGTCCATACTTTAACCTTGCCTTGGCCTCAGATCAACGCGAATAACAATGGCAGTCACGCCACTCCACTTGACCTCGCCTCAATCAGACCAAATACGCAGACTTATCGATTAGCTACTCTGCTTCATTGACACAATTTAAACCCATGGTGTCTATTCTAGCTTGCTTTATTGTGGTTGTATTAGCCTGATGATGAAGCCCATGAAAACAAGCTTGTTCGCTATTTTCAGTTTCTAAGGTTATGCTACCGAAGTATAATGGCGCTGCATTCGAGCAATCCTCATTTGTACTCCATTTACCTCAGAGTAGCAAGCTTCTTGAGGAGAAGTCCGTCGATCTTCTATGCAGTGTGTTTCATTTCGGCTGTATTCATTTGGATTATCGTCCTACCCCACGCACGATCGGGGACTACAATTCACTATTTAGCAATTCCGGTCGTGCATACCGAGGAGGAGCAGTTCCCCCTGGCCTTCAGCATCTCAATGTACAAGGATCTTGACCGGACTGTACGACTAATGCAGGCTATTTACAGACCACATAATTGTTATTGCATCCACGTGGATAAGAATAGCATCGAGAGCATGTATGCCACTCTCGTTCGCCTAATGAAACAACAGTACGGCGGTGCCGTGTATGTGGTCCCACGAGAAAAGAGTCTTAAAGTGAAATGGGGTCATATGTCAACACTTGAAGCAGATCTGCTGTGCAGCCGCATGCTACTGGATCGGTGTCCTCGATGGAAATATTGGATCAATCTGACGGGTCATGAATATCCCTTGAGAACAAACTGGGAACTGGTTCGTGCACTGACCATACTCAATGGGTCGAATTTGATCGCCGCGACATACAAACATCGAATTATGAAGCGATTTCCGCTACATTTGAACTTCGAGTTTCCAGTAAGTATTTGTCGATGAGTTCAGTGCTTACTCGTTCATGATACCTATCAGGAGTGGTATTTGATGGTTTCGTACAAGTGGGTTTACATCATTTCTTTCCCCTGGAACGTCTCAGTCCATCTGGATGCCACGCTTACTCTTCGATTAGCCTGGTTGTTTCTGAGAATACTAATCTTAGATGCATCCAGCCAGGTGTCCAACAACATGCGAAAATGGGACAGATGATCATTGTGCACTTTCGAGGCTCTTCGACATTAGCGGAAAGGTAATGTGGTTAGTTGTTTTGGAGTTAGAATCTAAAAGCTGCCCATGACAACTGACCTGGGGTAGACAACCGTCACATTTCGAGGTGCAATGGAATGCGTTTCCATTGTCAGAGATGTGGGTTCCCCCACCATAGGACGATGTCGGAATTTATGAGTCCCATATTTCGCAGCCATACGTAATGACTGTCATTACGCTAACTGGAAAACGGACTGTGTTACGGCACGATTAATCTTTTACTCTCGAGCGCGTAACTGCAGGTGGAGAACAAGCTAGGGCCCCAGAAACACAACATCACATACTGTGCGCCCTAACCAGACTTTACCCACCTAACCTCCAAGAATAGAGTGAAAATCCACATTAGACGCAGTCCGGTGAAATGAATTTGCCGTCCACTTCGATCCAGCAAGTAAGGTGATTACTCGACAGAAGCCGGTTGTATCGAATCAGTTTGAATGCGTTTATTTACTATCAGCAGATGTTGGCAGCCGTTTGCGACCTTTGGGGCTCTGTTTTCATCCTATCACTGGTCGGCACAAGGTATTTTATTCAAATCCGGTGCAGCACACGTCATGCGGTTAGTTGGCTCAGCACGGATCGTGTGACAATGTCTGTGTCCATCGGGTGTAAAACGTGCTTGTCAAACTCTGTTTAATATTAGTACTAAATGAGTATCTAGCTAATGTTGAATACTTTCAACCACCACAAGTGCCAATGGCATTTGTACCAGACGGCTTAAACCGAATACCAATCCGACTGCGAACTTCAAAATAGACGATCCGAATTTCGGAACGTGTGCGACAAGAGTACAGCAACTAGCGAAATGGTTAGCTGTTTTGCCGTTACTCAGTTGCCACTGACATGCAATTACTAAGGTTGGGATTTTCAAACGGGTTACAGAGACTGAGACTGTATTTAAGAGCAAGTAGAAAAGTTACTGTGCAACAGTATAGAATTATGGAAAACTGAGAGCAGTTAATTGCGGATTGTCAGCCGCGGTGTTTGGTCAATTAATCGCTTGTCCTTGTTCGGTTAGGAATTCGTATTGGTGTCATCATTTTCGGGTGTAGGATTTATCGTTTTGCATTGTATGTGCACCGTTTCACAAAATCATAGGTTTCCGAAATTATCCTCTAAACGTGTTTTGAAACACTTCACATAATCGGCCTCTATTACTCCTTCTAGTAATGAGTTCCATAAGTTTACAATTCTTCGTTCGCTACAACGCTGATGTGATACCTATATTATGCAGGGGACCCTGAGTTTGTAACGGTGTCCTGGAGTGTTACACAGTTCCTGAATGTGAAATATTAACCGCAGTGTGGGGAAGTGATTGTGCTGTAGTATTTGATGGGTCATAATAAGGTCAGTTCGTACTCAGCGGTAATAAAGTTTGTAATGTCCAAACCTTTCACGTTTTTCATACGGAAGCTTTCGTAGACTGGGTATCGTTATTGTTGTGGTGCCTGTATTTTCTCCAGTTTTTCAGTTTCCCACTGGGTTACCGGATAATAAGTTGGGGCGCCGTATTCAAGGATTGGTCTGACGAGCGAGGTGAATAGGCGAGGGATGGTTTTTTCAGAAAATGTGGAGAAACTGCATCTTAATGCCCAGAGAATACAAGTCCCGCACGGTACAATTTCCCTATATTTTCTACTGATCTCATATCATGTCACTAGAGCACTCCTAATTCTCTGACAGATGTGTTGGCGTGGAGATACTGACCGTCCAAGGAGTGGGTGTGTGTCTGATGACACCGAGGAAGTCCAAATTGATGGTGTTATGAAGGTTGAATTTCAGTGGACCGCGTTGACAGTTGATCTAAGTCATTCTCGAGTCGAAGGCAATCATCTTAGTTCTCACTAATATTCCAGATTTTCTAATTATCTACAAATTTGGCACATGGTGACTGTAGCTGTTGCGGGAGATCGTTGGCGTGAATAAGAAATAACACTGACCTAACTACAGTTCTATGAGGTACGCCACTGGTAGAAGGGAACCAGTCTGTCAGATAATCATTAACCTTTCTATTTCCTTCCCACAATCAATTCCTGTAACCACTGTGGTAACATGCCACAGATCCTGTAGTTCCTCAGTTTACGAAGAAGTATCAATTGGTTTACTCTGTCAACTGTCTTACTAAATGCGATGTACATCAACTTAACATTCTTCCGTTCGTTGAGAGCCCGCACCCACTTGTGTTTTGCGTACTTTACGTTGGTTATGCAGGATCGCCGTTTCGTGAAGCCGCTTTGCGTCGGCGTCAATACGCCCATCGATTCGAAGAACAACGGCAGACAGTTTTTCACAAGCTTCTCGAGAACTTTGAATAATATCGAAATCAGATATGTCGGATCACCACCCTTGGAAAGCGATCTCACTAAAGAGCATTTCCAGTTGTCGGAAACAGATCCTTCAGTGGGGTTTCTTGTATAGCTTTGTCACTGTTATGGAGCTGATATTAGATAAGGGTGAAAGCATTAGTGGGTGAAGTTCGTCTGGTCCGTGTAGCATTGTACCATTGAAGGTGATGAGTGGCTAATATAGTTCCTCTGCATCACATTGTAATCTGTCGAGCAAGACTGGGGTAACCTGTGTCGGTACTAAAACAGCCGCCGATTCACTGAAAGATACGTTGAGGAAGTGCGGATCCAAGGCGTTCGCGCGCTTTGTGCTTGTAATGAGTGACTCACTGTCCAAAATTTCTAAGACCGGTAGGTCATCCGCAGGTTTCAGATGATGTTTCATTTATGCAAAATTTCGCTTGGTGACGGTTTCGGCCGAGGCCGCTAGCTCCTCTTCGAACTGCCAATATTGCTTGATCGTTGAGGCATTATATACGTAACGCTGTGTCTTGTACGCCGTGTAACCTTTATCATAACCCGAGATGTTCAATCTACCCGAAAGGTTGCAACGCCATCGAGCTAACCGTTTACATTCTCTATCAAACCGATGTGATTTGATAGGTCCGTTTTGGAATAATTCAGGCGGACAAACCGAGTACACAAAGGGGTAAAGTTCCCGCTCACTAATGACCAAAAGGCCGCAAGCGGCGCATCTTGTGACAATATCCAATCAGTCTGACTTGCGGTTTGAACGAGCCCGTTGAAGTCCGTCTTCCTCATTGGATGACTTCTGCGTCTATGGGGATTGATAGCGCTTTCGTCAGATGGAGCACAATGAATACTAAACAGACATTGAACATCAAGCCAGCGATTCGAAGACCAAATCCTGAGACGACGAGGGTGCAACGACTGGCGATACAGTTAACAACCCTGGCGCTACTCCACTGCCATTGACCTGCAGGTTCCATGGCGGTGATTTTCAAACGGGCTACCTTAGACTATTGGCGGATTTCCTTGTGTCGTACTCACGCTACTTGACGGGAAGTCGTTTGCAAAATAACAAGCGCGGGAATAGTGTCTATGATTCAACTTATACGCAACAAGTTCAAGTGAACAAATGCATATATGGATGTACTTCACCGCTTCCAAAAATCTACCATTCGTAAGAACAAAGTGCTCTTAACTCGATGGTTAATTTGCCTGTTAACAATGAGCATGAGAACTTTGCGCATATGGCAAGAAGTGCCTAATCAAAGTCGTCTGTTGTAGCCGAGCTTCTCCCACCAAAACGTCATTTCGTTTCATTGAAGAGTTCATTTCAATGCACACCTGCGAATGCACTGCAAAAGACAATGGCAATCAGGGCTGTAATTCAGTCACTAGAGCAGCATCATCTCATGTTTCAAATTGATCCCTCTAATCATCCATTATCCGTTGTGTTAGGCTTTGTCAGACGCAAATCGATGGCATCTAGATAAACGATGCAGCCGGCAACCCAGAGATCTCTAGTCCGAGTCCCAGCTCATTTATCTCCGCCTGATTATAGAAAACAATTTCGAGAACGTTCCAGGAGTGCAGTGCGCTGAGAGGGTGACGCGTGTTGCTTATCATGTTAGTTTGTTCCTGCTAATGGCTGGTTACATCCGATTCCGTATTCGGCTGTCACTACGACCTTCGTAGAACAGCCACTGCAAGCCTGCACCTACAGTTGTACCATGGGTGGATTGCGATGCACCACTCACAGTTCCATCCATACACCGCATCCCCAGTGTAAATCCGAAGGAATAAGACCGAAAAGCATGTAGATGGGAGCCACGTTTCATCAACGGAGCTTGCCCACACTCCTTCAACAGGCAGAGCAGAAGCATTCATGTCTAGTTGGGGAATCATGCGTACAAGACGTACACAAAGCGGTGGCTATGCCGTGGCCCGTTTCACACTGAAGACATAGAACCACGCTTTGATCCTAGCACGACCACGGGGACCGTGCACTCCGTCACATCAAGCAACGACTGTCTCCTGCAACCAGTGTAGATGTGGTGGTGGGTAGTAGACGGTTAGGCTCCTAGTCAACATTCACATCAATTACATCCATTCCTGGGATATCAAACAACAACCAACCCGCAGGCACGCGTATAGAACAAATGCGACGATGACGTACCATCAACCGCCACGTTGACCAAAGTTAGTAAATTGAATCGGAAGTAGCGAACTTATCAGGCGTTGCGGTGATGTATAACTACATAGTTAGATTCCTCGCATTCTCTTGAATGTTTGCCCAATGTGGTGCCGCTGATGGTTTAATAGGCTCGCTTGGCTCAGGTACTCGCGACCATATGTCGTACAGCACCATGCGCTCGACGTCGATGGGCTATCTATCATCGGCACCTGTTGGTTCCTCAACGGACATCGCTTTTCCTCATGATCTAGTGATGAATCTTGTAGCAGGGCAACCTCACTCTTTATATGCCGTCGACATTGGTGCCGATCTGATGCCATTGCTTCCCAACCTCTGGAATCAACAATAGTTCGGGACCAAGTCAAATTGATCATGTCCTGGTAGATTAAGCTCCATTTTTCCCCGTGGTGCTGCCCTATATGCAGTTGGCCATAAGCTACTGTTCCGGTATCCGGGTCGAATTCACGCGGCAAATATGTCCGAGCCACCTCAGGTGCAGCAGCAGTAGTACGCAGTCTACTGCATACCTACCCATGTGTCGGAGGACATCCGTGACTGCAACTCGGTCACCCCAGGGGATGCGTATCATACGATGCAAACACTGTTGATGGAAACACTCCAGACAACTGACGTCCTTATAATAAAGCGTCTAGATTTCACTGTCGTATAGAAGAATGGACAGCACCCTAAACTTGAATGCTAGCAGCTTTGTACGGACAGCGAACTGGTGGCTGTTCCCCACACGACATTCCAGCTTGCCAAATGCAGCAGTAGCCTTCAATACGCGGATTCGTAGCTCGTACGTCATCTGCTGGTCGGTTGTCATTGCGCTATTATCGTATCAAAAGTACGAAGTGGCTTCCAACTCCTCTGCGGCAATCGGGATTTCGGGCTGGCCCATTGACTCCACTCGTGATGGAGGTTGTAATAGAAAATCTTGTTTGTGTTGATGGTGAGCCCGAAGTTGGCCGCTGTCGAAGCCAGAGCAATAATCACATGCTGCAACTGATCCGCGCTGTTTGGAAACAAAGCACAGTCGTCAGTAAACAGCAACATACGGATAGTTGTCTCAAGCAGTAGTGTTCTCGCCCCGAAAGTACAGAGGCTCAGCAAACCATCAACAATACGGTGCTCCACACGAACACCGTAAACACAAGCAAAACCAACTGCACGCGGCATCATGACATGAAGACAAATATCGAATAGGGCAGGAGCTAAGACACAGCCTTGCTTCAGACAAGAGACAGCTGTAAAGACATATGAAGTAGGTTCGCAGTGCTGCACACTCACCCGCATACCACTGTGCAGACATCCAATTAGACTTAGGAACTTACTTAGCAAACGAACCTTACCCAACATCAGCCACAATGCCTCGCAGCTCACCGTATAAGTGCCTTAGTGAACTCAACAAATCGCGAGTATAACGGCTGGTGTTATTCTCTGCATTTCTGCCACTGATGAGCCGCAAACACCATATCGATGGTGCTGCGACCCGAACGGAATACATATTACTCTTCCGCCACGTTCGGTTCCACAACCTGACTGACGAGGCGGTTGAGCAGGATTCGGACAATCTCTTTGCCCACACAACGTAGCATGTTGCTGCCATGGTATTTGGTGCTTCTACTAATGACCGCCATCTGTACAAACCGGTAAGTGGAATCATCTTCCCTGAAGCTCTGTATGTCCTCGACTGCACAGCGGATCGATTATGTTGCGATACTCGAACCATACATTTTGTTTAAATAAAACAAATTAGACCTTGTAAATTACAGGCATTACCGTTCGAGCTTACTTTCATAACAACTTCATGTTTGTACGCTCAAACTGAAGCTTATCGGCATAACTGTTTACTCTCCGTGGCCTCAACAATGGGTATGCCTTATGATTTAACCCACGTATCTCCATTCCACCCCACTCACAGTTCACGTGGTATAAGGGAAGCGCTCACATCGTAGCTCGCCGCGAATTTGTGCACTTTGTACACAACGACGAACGCGCCAAACTCATCCTGCGAGTACTGCGTGATTTCGAGCAAGCCAAGAATGAGGGCATTATCGCAGATGAATCATACTTCTCCACCCTCAACCACAATCCCGCATCTATACCAGCACCAGGCGCGTTTTTGGGCATACATGAAACGGATGTATTTAAACCACCTATCCGAGTCAAAGTATGGTCTGATCAAAACATGCCTTGCCACAGTGGCAAATGGGTCAGGACTATTTGCATGCTGGGACTGCACGATGTGGACCGGTTGATGGACAGACCTGAATTTTTCGCCAACAAATTTGTACCATCAGTGGAGCCAGAAGGCTATACCCGGCTGGAGTGGTGGTTGTCCGAGAAAGTGAAATATGAAGCTGTGATTGGTGACCTGCATCCTTCGTTCAACACAACACATTATCTTTCACTTGAATTGCGGTGGAATCATTTGTGAACGGCATGCTGCAACGCAGCATGGCGAGTGTACAGAGAAGCTCCAGCACCAGAAACCTTGGACAACTACGTAACCCAACGTACCACTGCACTCAACTGTTAGGAGAAGGCAAAACCGCCTATCAGCAGAACCTCGCAAAAACCTTCAGTGCTAACCACAAACTGCTGTACAAGCGCGTTAATAGCCTACGATAGGTGAGGAAAGAATTTCACGCACTCAAGGCTGCTGATAGCCTAGCAAGAACGGCTGTGGAAGCAGCAAACGCACTGCAAATGCAATATGCTCCCACGTTTCAAAGGGTCTTGCCACCAAGCGATCTACCAATTTTTGTCTTCTACTCGCCAGGACTAACCCACATCACCTTTACCGCGGAGGCTGTATCGCCAAAGTTGACGTCTCTCCGCAAACACAGCTCACCCGGAGTCGACACCATACGCGCAGAGGCACTGGAAGCAGCAGCAAGCCAACTGGCGGGACCTATAGCTCAGTATTTCCAGCGCTGTTTAGACCAGAACCAAGTTCCCACAATGTGGAAGCTTGGAATAATAACCCAACACACAAAAGTGGAAGCAGAACTGATCCCTCCCAAAACCGCCCAATGCCACTTCTTCCTATGCTCTCCAAGGTCATGGAATCCATAGTTGCCGGTGCACCGGTATGCTATTTGGTAACCTGCAGCATCATCAAGCCTGAGCAGCCGGATTTCCGTCGACAGCGGTCATGTACAATAAATTTACTAATTGCACGCAGTAGTTGGACCGAGACAGCTGACGCTGGAGATGGTGTTGATGTGATGTACCTGGCTTTTTCCAAGGCTTCCGATCGTCTAGACCATCGGATACTGCTATCCGAGCTGCAGCATTACAGGATCAGAGACCCTCTTTTAGTTGGATCGCCAACTTTCTACTTCGACGGCAATTAGTGGTCAGAATTCGGAGCCCTTTATCGGACCCCATACAAGTTGAGTGTGGTGTGCCGCAAGGCTCAGTTCCAGGTCTACGTTTGTTTTTGGTGTTTATTAATGACCTTACACAGGGAATCGCTTCAAACTTCCTAATGTTTGCCGACGATATCGAGATCTGGCGCAGGATCCATGCGAACGCCGACCAACATGTGCTTCAGAGTGTCAATGGTCGACGCGAAACTTATTGCATTTCGACGTCAGTAAATGCAAGGTGCTTTCCATCCGAAATCAGGGTAGCTTTTCATACCGGCTCGGAACGAATATACTACGACAATCAATTCTCGAACGTGACTTGGATGTCCTGGTTCAAGATGACTAGGGTTGCTCCAGGCAATCCAAAAAGGCCTCGAAGACCGGGAACCAACGCGTCGGGCTGTTGCGACGGGCGTTTGGACAAATAAACAGCTCCATATTTCGACAAATGCTCAGTGCGTATGTTCGCCCCCATGTCGAATGCGCCATTCAAGCCTGGAATCCATGGCTGAAACGCGACCTTAATGCACTGGAGCAGCCACAACGTAAGGCATCTAAGAACGTAATTGGAATGCGCAATCTTTCCTCCCAGGAGAGGGTGCAACGATTGCGGGTGTTCAGTGGAAGCTACCGCAGATTACGAGGAGACCGGCTTATGGCATAGTTGATTCTGCGAGATCCACATTATGTGTGCCGCCCTTTACTGCAACTCAGCAGCAATACAAATCTGAGGGACCACTCACTAAAACTCATAGAACAATACAGTCGTCCTGAGTGCCGCAGAAATTTCTTTTCCATTCGTGTCTGTCACCCATGGAATGTTCTCCCAGAATCGGTCATCTATGCACCGACACTAACAGTATTTAAAAGCCGGTTGGACGATGTACTCATCCTCTTACACTTTGTTACTTAACACTACATCTCCATCCTACACCTGGAGTATATCATGGAATAATTTGTTGTTAACTGTAGGTGCTGTGAATCTAAGAGGATCGCAGAACTACAGAGGAGCAAACGATAAGCCCTTATTTTCATATGTAAAGTATTAACTATTTTACTATCCTTATCATCATGATTGTTAGGATGACATCCCCACTAACTATCCAATGGGACTTGCAAAGAAACGCTTGTTAACCCGTATAAATTCATTGTTTATTGTTCATCAATTCTTAGTACCTTATTCTAGATGAGATGATCGGAGTGGAAACGCGATCTATTGCAATTAGCCTTAGCCTCCGGAGGTGTAGTGTAGTTACTTCGTGTGCAACTGATTAGGATTTAGAAAAATATACCTACATCGGTATCGCAGCAAACAGCATTACACAATGTTAGCATACGGGTTAAGTAGCACTACTTCACAAGCCCTGTTGTGTGGTCTGATAAATTATCGAAAATGTTGATAAAAAATTGCAGTTAGCAGTTTTGCTGTCAAAAGAATTGACTTCTCCAATTTAATGCAGGATCCCTGCGCTCCGAGTGTTTCCATTGCTTCAAGAAGCGAAGGATAAGTCCAAGCTATTTCCCGTGAGTAGGATGGAGAGTAGCGTCAAGAACAAAAATGTAAGTGGCGGAGTGCGCCTTCCAACCGACTTTCTAATATGGCTAGCGTTGGTGCAGCATCAACCGAATCGATGAAAGAGATCCATGGTTGACGCGCAAACGGAAACGAAATTTCTACGACACGTCAGACGGCTGTACTTTATTGCTAATTTCAAGGAGTAGCGTATAAGTTTGTTGTTATTGCTGAGTCGTAGTAAATCTCATTGGATGGTGTAAAATCTAGTACGTCTTAATTAAGTCCCATCCCAGTCGCCGATACCGCCCGCTGAATACTACCAAAAGTTACAGCCTCTGCTCCTAAGGAAAGTAGCGCATTCTGATGACGTATTTGGAAGCCCGACGTTGAGGTTGGTCCAGTGCAGTAAAGTAGTGATTCAGCCATGACTGCAAACTTGTATAGCGTATTCAACATGGGGGTGAACATACACATTCGACATCTGTCTGAATGTAAAAGTGTCTATTTGTCTGAACACCCGTCGAAACAAGTCGACGAACTGGTTACCCGTTTTCCATGCTTTTATGCATTGCTTGGAACAACCCAAGTTATCCTGAACAAGAACGCCATGGTCGAGTTCGACGGATGATCGCCGGAGTACTTGCCTTGCTAGCCTGTAGGGATGGGTACTCTGGGGTCACATGGAGAGTAAATTGTATTTATCCATCCTGAACTACAACAAATCCCTTAGAAACCGATAGCAACGGAATACCATTTTATCACCCGTGCAATGCGAACGTTTACTTACTTTCTCATTAGTTGGCTATTTGAATCGACACAGTTACTGTTTGGTAGGTATGCGACTTGCTACTAGACACTAGATTACTCATTAATTTGACAGATTTCTCTCCATCGAAAGATAAGGTGTGTGCATAAGAAAAGTATGCGCGAAAAGTGTATCGATAAGTCTTGTGCACGAACGTTGTAACGATTCAAATGCTTGCATTAAAGCAACGCTCCAAAATTAAATCTGTGATTGTTGTAATGTGAAACGATATACTTAAGGTCTGTTTACAGTTGTGTAGATTTACGGATTTGCAACTTCCAGGTGAAAGTTGCGACAGTGGCGTAGCAACTACAATTGCCGCCCGTGGCGGACTTAATATTGCCGCCCCCTGGCCAAAATGGTGGTCGGATTGGTAATTCGTCAACTGCGCGCAAATCGTTCACGTCAGCATTACAAGTATTTCCCGCTGCCTCCATGCCGTAAATGTCTCTTTCAGTTGCTCGGATATCGACCTTTGCAGTATCAATTTCATCTTCAGTGTCAACATGATTATCACCTTCATTTTTCGAGCTGGTTCATCGCAACCAGATTCCATGCCGCAAAAGTAAGCTACCAATTCGGAAAGTACCAGACGCGCCTTTCGCCCTATTGGTGCTCATCAGTGGTGCATACCCTTTGGTCCCTTACTGTGGATCGAACCAATGACCGCCAGATGCTAACACCAAATAGCCAGCAGTTTACGCCACCGAGCCACGGGGGAGGGTTGTCAACTATCACATATGGAAACCTAACAATATATATATATATACATATATTACGCAACAACAATCCGATAATTTTGGCAATTAGTGAAGCTTTGCTATTTAGGGCTTATCTAGCTGTGTTGGGTGCACAGAAACTATTGCGACAATCAAGTAGGTTACCGTGGTCTGGAGTTTGACATTTTGATTGGTGTGCCAAATTTTCCGCGTATATAACTGTCTATGAATTCCGTTTGTATAGTGTTTGCGACTGATGAGAACATTCGAAATGTTGACCTATCGCAACTTATGTCTTCTCACCGCTCTGACGAAATAGCTGAACGAGACCCGCTGTTTTACCTAACTACGATATAGCCCGACCCATCATCCGGTTCACTCATGGCGGTAGTTTTGATGAATTTACACTTGGTATTGAACACACAACTTTATTAAAGTTGCCACCCCCAATCACATGCCACCCGGAGCGGACGGCCCCGCCCCATTAAGCTGTGACTTGGAGATTCCCCCGCTTGATATGTAATTTTAATCCTAGATACTATTAATCATAGTTTTCTCATGTATTAGGGAAAGAAGTGGTTTGCATGTTTGTATGATGCAGGTGTTTATATGAGACACACCGACAACATCCGTACTTTGTCTGCGGGCTTCGAAAAGAACGTCGGTTCTCCGATCGCACCCAGCACCCTACCACATACTCCCTAGCTATTCATCTTCCGGTGCCTTATTTTTAGTCTGAACATTTAGCAACCTTCTAATAAACATTATTCTAGCTTATTTCTGTGTGTTCTGCCGCACACCTTTGGTTGACCATTCAAATCTGAGTATCGGATATAGCGTAAGATCAAGGCGCAATACCTATGCTACACCTCTGGTGGGGGGGGGGGCGCAAATCTTACGACGCCCATGCGGGTAAAAACTGTTTCCATGCCATTGATATGCCGCCTCCGTGGGGTATTGTAATTGTGCCCCATCATTGCAGATTATTTCGATTACATTGAATGTCCGATGTATGGTGTGTTTGCTTACTCCA